CCCCAAAACCCCAAAACCCCAAAACCCCGTGAGTGCCTAACAATAAAAACTGATCTTAAATAGATTAGAATTTAGTGTGTTTATGGATAACTTCGTAAATAATAGAAGAGTAAATTTAAATAATGGGATGCATATAATTAAGAAATCGAATATTCCCTGGAGATCTGACTGGCTAGCTTGCTAGAGTAAATGAGGACTATGATATTAATGCAGCTTTAGATGTTGCCTTGAAAAATAACAAAAAAGCGAAAATCGCACACGTTGAGTTAATTCCATCCTGCAAGAATCTCCCTAATCTCGATACTTTTTCATCTGTTAACCCAGTTGCTATTTTGTACATATGTAAACTTAGTGCTTAAAGAGCCCAAAAGCAAAGTTAATTACAAAAAGAAGAGGAAGAGTACCTTGAATTTGATTGGGAAGAAAAAGCCAGAACTGAAATACGTAGAAGTGATCCCAATCCTATATTCATAAACTCTTTTACTTTTCAAGCAATCAACAATGAGAAACTCATTGTAAAAGTTTCAATTTTTCACGTCAAGGATTTTTCACCAGAAGCTCCTCTTAGCAAGCATAAACTCCTTGGAGAACAGATTTTCAAAATGGCTGAGATTATAAAGCAAGGTGCGTTTTGTACCAAGCCTCTAACAAATGATAAGAAGCAATAGCTCGATGTGATTATGAAGCAAAGAAGAACCACAGTTACTCTTAGATATGAAGAAATTGAGTAAACTAATGGAATGGTCTAGTTAGGATTAGCTATCAGAGATTTCACCCAAAGAGGTATCTTTTTCTTTGTTATATCCAGATCGAGAGATCTTGGAGAGTTTGTCCCACTATACACTAGCGAGAAATAAAAATGCGATCGTATATCTGGTGCTACATTTGATGAGCATGATTTTATGATGCGTGATTTGTGTCGAAATGATGATTCCAGATAACTGAAGATAGAATTCTATGAATCAAATAAGAAGGGGCACCATAGATTTCTAGGTTATGTTGATTTATCAATCAAAGATATTGCTTAAGAGAACAAAAGGATTTATACTGTGTTTAACAAAAAGGTTGTTGCTGGTTAAATGGAGATAACAAAGTGCCTTTTTCTCAATAGATATACATTCTTAGACTATATTCATGGTGGCTGTGATGTGTCTCTCATGCTAGCGATGGACTTTACCTTGACTAATAAGAGTTAAAAAGACCCTTTATCTCTTCATTACCTTCACCCAGATTTAATAGAAACTAAATAGCCTTAATTAAACAAAAACGCGAGTAGTCCTGATAAAAATCAGATGAATGGAGGGTCACCTGTTCTTGGATTATCAAATCAAAGAAAAAACAGCATTTCAAAATAGCAGGCTAGAGGACTAAACCAGCATATTGATGTTGAGGAGTTGGAAAATGATTATATGAAGGCCATGAGGATGGCAATCACCGTTCTAGACTACTTCGATACTGATTCTTATGTGCCTTTTTTAGGTTTTGGGGCAAAGTTGCCTCCATATTTTAATACTGCCTCTCAATGCTTCGCTGTGAATGGGAATGTATTTTTCCCTGAAGAAATAGGAATTGATAATCTTACTAAAGCCTATATGAAATGTGTTAACGACATATAATTTCATGGCCCATCTGCCTTTGCACCTGTAATAAGATTTTGCTCAAAAATGGCATCATATAAGCCAGTTTCTTAAAATGAGTAAGCTATTTATAGGATTTACATATTATAGCTAGTTTTATCATATTTTGGTAATGATAGTACAAGGACATTTAAGTGATATGGAAGCCACTATAGAGGCAATAGTAGCAGCATCAGATATTCCAATGAGTATCATCATAATAGCAGTAGGTGATGGTGAGGGGGAAAATGGAGAGTTTATTAACTTGCAAGCACTTGATGCAGATGACAAAGCTTTAGTAGATATTAATGGTAAAAAACAATGGAGAGATGTCTGTTAGTTTGTGCCTTTTTCAAATTTCAAAAATGATATCCAGAATCTTACTAGATAAATTCTTGCTGAAGTACCCAGATAGATAAAGGATTTTTTTGAGAAGAAAGGTATTGTTCCAAGAGATCATAAATCTGCAAATAACAAGTAACTGAATAGAGATTTCGAGTTACTCAAGAGGAAAAGAAGATTTGAAAAAGTTAGAATCGAATGCCCTTATCTAACTGAAATGAGATTAAAGTTTATCTAGGAAATCAATGATTTGGGATTTCCAAAAGATGAGATTGAAATGATTATCGGTAAAGGTCTTCATTCCTTAGATCGCAATATTGCTGTTGATTAATTGAGTTGGTTGAAAACTAATCCAGATATTTTGAAAGACGAACTTGAGAGAAAGCGAAAAATTTAGGAGTAAAAGTAAAAAGAAGAGGATGAAAGAAAGAGGTAGAGAGATTTGCTAAATAAGTTTGATGATGAGAGAGATTTCTTTAAGTATAATTTGCCCCTCTTAGCCCCAAAGGAGTTTAGACCTTTGAAGAAGCATAAACAACTTTGTAAAATCTGTTATGACCACAAGATTAACACAGCTATTATACCCTGTACTCATAGTTTGTTCTGTGTAGAGTGCACATAATATCTTGAAAAGACCTGTCCTTATTGTGGAAAGAAGATTGATAAGGTAGTAAGAACATTTGATTTGAGAAACTTTACTAAAAACATCAGGTAACTTTGAAATCTATTATATCATCAGCTCAAACAAATGATTTTAATCTTAATTTCATGAATTTCAACTAACTTAATATCCTTAAGACAGATTGATAGAGCGGGGTTTTGGGGTTTTGGGGTTTTGGGGTTTTGGGG